CAATGTCATTAACTAATACTTTACCTAATTTTAGTGGTAAAGAAAATGAAATGCCAACGAAATTTATTACTGAATTTGAACTACGTGCATCTGGTATTTTCGGTTATCACGACGAATATTTACTTCGTGCTGTTCAACAAGCTTTATCCGATACTGCTCTCACGTGGTTTATTCAACAACAACAAGCACTATCAATTACTACTTGGAATCAATTTAAACAATTATTTCTTCGACGCTTTCGAACTCCAGATAAAATTGAATCATTACGTGGTCGATTACGAATTTTATGGCAAAATGATAATGAATCAACAGCTGATTATTTTGAACGACTCAAAGCATTGATTTCAGAAATTGAGCCTGTCAATTCCACGGACTATCTTAAACGAAAATTCTTACAAAAATTACGCAAAGATATACGTGACAAAATGCCACTTGGTCTTACATCTTCTTTATCTGATTTAGTTCAAAAAGCTATTGAAATTGAAACAAATATTGTTCAACAAAAAATTGATGATAAACTTCGTGATGCACATAAAGAGGATAATATTCACAAACAAAAATCCAACATTATTAATAATCTACGAAATGGTTCTCAATTTAATTCATTACCTTTATCAAATTATAATGGACATTCTTCGAATGATAATAATTATAATAATTCCAAATCTAATAATAATTTTAATGACAATTCACGGACATTTATAAATTCAAACAGATCACCACCTCAAGCAACTCAAATGCACAACGACTCTTATACATCTCGACAAATTGTCAATCGACATAAAAAGGTAAAATTTCGTAATAATAATAAATGGTGTTCATCTTGTTCCAGTGCAAACCATACTTGGCTCAACTGTTATTCCAATCCAAATGGTCTTAATTATCAATCTACACCTTATCGACGTGAACAGCAGCAACACTCACGTCAACAATCTATGTTACCACCTCATTATTCTCAACAACACCATTCAACTCAACAACATCATCAACCGCCGAATCAAAATGAATTTATTAACCAACAGCAACCACAACAACATTACCAACAACCTTCATCATCATCTTATTTACCATCTCAATGTTCTATGTCGGAAAACGATCAAGGGAGCCGGTATTAGAGGAGGAACCGACTCCGACAATAATCTCCTCACCTGCTACATCAACCTCAACTTTACCAGCTATATCATCCTCATCTCAATTTATTGTTTCTACATGTATTAATACTGATTCACTTGCTGCAAATTGTGCTGGTGCATCTTTGTCTACAACTAATACTACTATTACTTCATCACCTGCCTCTTATTTAATAGCTGAAGCTAAAATTAATGATATACCTGGTGTCGTACTTCTTGATACAGGATCTGGTCTTACTATTATTAATTCTCGACATTGGTCGCTTATTGGTGATCAATCTATTCCACCAACACCATACGATGGTGCTGATATTCATGGTCCTGAAGGTAGTTCTATTCGTCCTATAGGATGGGTGGAAGTTAAAATTAATATTGCCGGTGTTATTATTCAGCATAAAGCTGTTTTAGCTGCAAATTTTGAACATTTAATATTATTAGGAAATGATTTTATGAAAAATATTGGTCTTGTACTTGATATTCAAGCTAATAAAATGTGGTTACGTTCACAACCTGATATTACCTATTCAATTTCATCTGATCTTACCAATATGGATCGTATTGATATACCTCTTCTTTCTACCCAATTACGAACTATTCCACCATTTCACATCGCTTTTATTCAAGTTCACACACCTTCTTCTATTTCTTCTGAAGCTTGGCAAGCATCAGTTACTGGTGTTCGTCGACATGTTGTCGCTGCTAATTCCTTAGTTCGCATTAAAAATCAATGTTGTCTTATTCAAGTTGCCAATTGTTCATCAAAAGCTCAAGTAATTTATCCCGGTCAACATTTAGCTGTAGCTGATTTATATGATGATGACATTAATAATGATACATCAACATTATCTTGTTATAATTCTTCTACAAACATGTTTATTACTATTCCCAGTGATCGTGATAATAAAAATATTGTTCAATTTAATTTTAATGATACATCAAACTTATCTGATGATAAATTATTTGATAGTACTTTGCCTATTATTCAACCTTCAACTATCTATTCTCTTCATTCAAATGTTACTTCTGATGCATCACCACTTAGTGATCATGATCATTCATCAAAAATTGATTCAGTTGAATTTTTAACTGACTTAGATCTTACAGATACTGACATTACTTTATCTCAAGCTGAACAACTTAAATCTGTTCTTGCTAAATATCATAAATGCTTTGATGATACACCGGGATGTACTTCTCTTGTTCAACATCATATTGATACTGGTAATACTAAACCAATCAAATTACGACCTTATCGTGTTTCACCTCACCGTAAAGACATAATATCTAATGAAATTACAAAAATGTTAAATGCCGGTATTATTGAACCATGTAGTGGTCCTTATGCTGCACCTATTACATTACAACCGAAGAAAGATGGTTCCTTAAGATTTTGTATTGATTATAGAGAACTTAATGCTGTTACTGTACGTGATGTTTATCCAATACCTCGAATTGACGATACACTTGATCAATTACAATATGCAAAATATTTTTCATCTATGGATCTTCGTTCCGGTTTTTGGCAAATTGCACTTGATCCAGATAGTCGTGACAAAACAGCATTTATCTCTCATGCCGGTTTATTTCGATTTCGTGTTATGCCATTTGGTTTAACTAATGCTCCAGCTACCTTTCAACGTCTAATGGATTTAGTATTAGGTGGATTAAAGTGGTCTTGTGCATTAGTTTATCTTGATGATATCATTGTTTATTCATCTTCATTTGAAGATCATTTAAATCATCTCGAACTCGTTCTTCAGCAACTACAAAATAGTGGTTTAACATTAAAAATTAATAAATGTCATTTTTGCAAGACTCATCTCAAATACCTCGGTCATATAGTTTCAAAGGAAGGTATTCAACCAGATCCTGATAAACTTCGTGCTGTTCGTGAATATCCTGTTCCGACGAAATTAAAAGCTGCTCGTTCTTTTCTCGGTCTTACAAGTTATTATCGTCGTTTTATCAAAAATTATGCTACAATTGCTGAACCTTTACTGGCACTTACACGCAATTCTGATTCAAAATCATTTCAATGGACTCAAGCCTGTCAAGATGCATTTGAATTACTACGACAACGTCTGATTGAAGCTCCAATTATTTCTTATCCTCGATTCGATCAACCTTTTATACTACAATTAGATGCTTCTGATGTCGGTATTTCTGCTATTCTTGCTCAAAAATTAGTTGATAATGATAATGTTACTCGTGAACATGTTATTGCTTATGCTAGCCGTACATTATCATCAACTGAACGAAAATATAATGCAACAGAACGTGAATGTTTAGCTATTATTTATGGGTGTAATTATTATCGACCATACCTTGAAGGTACTAGGTTCACTGCTGTCACTGATCATAAAGCTCTTAAATGGCTTCATTCAACTAAAGATCTTAATACTCGGTTAGCACGTTGGGCAATTCAAATTGCTGCTTATGATATGGATATTCAACATCGACCTGGTAGTGAGAACGGTCCACCCGATGCATTATCTCGTTATCCTATTAATGTTACTGCTGATGATGATATTGAATCTTCATCTATTATTTGTCCAATTTCATCTAATTTTCATGATACAAATTACAATGGTTTTTTATCTTCTATTCCATCTGATCCTGGCTCATTATTATTACTTGATTATTTTCGACAAAATTCATTACCACCAAATTCATTATCAATTCCATTATCTTTACCATCTATTACTGGTTCACCATCTCATTCAACTATAGCTAATCTTCATTTTGCTGACAATATTAATTTTTATGAACAAATTCGTGCTGCTCAATGGAATGATTCTTCTCTTTTACCATTACTGAATTTTCTTCAACATCAAATTATACCAACAATTGATAATATTAATAAATTCTACGGTTTAGCACGTTTACATCGAGTGATTGATGGTGCTCTTTATCGCACATTTCGTACTCATTCATCATCTCAAGGTCAAGAATCTATTATACCATTATCATCTGAACGTATACTTCTCGTTATTCCTGCTTCAGAAGTACTTCGTGTTATGCAACTTGCTCATGATCATGCTACAGCTGCTCATCTCGGCCGTCGCAAAACCTTATCTCGATTACTCTCACGTGTTTATTGGCCTCATATGCGTCGTGATGTTGCTAATTATGTACGATCATGTATATTATGTCAACAATACAAGCCAACTAATCAAAAACCAGGTGGTCTCATGAAACCGATTATTGTTTCAGAACCGTGGCACACTGTCGGTATTGATATTACTGGTCCACTACCTAAAACTCGTCGCGGTAATCGTTTTATCCTCGTGGTGGTCGATTATTTTACAAAATGGGTAGAACTTTTTCCACTTCAATCTACTAAAGCAAGTATTATAGCACAATTATTTCTTGATGAAGTCATTTGCA